TTATTGATTTATAGATAGATCAAATGATGAATTTGATATTAAGGCAGCAGCGTTTAGTTTACTTTTTTTTCTACCTGATGATTAAGGGAATTCAATGATCATGTCCTTTTGAACATTTGCTAGTACACTGCAACACATTTCAGTGGAAGAACATTGTGATGGAATGGTATGTTGGAAAGCAGCACTGAATGCTCTGTAGGGCAACATTTCTCAACCTTGGCAACTTTAAGATGCGTCAATTTCAATTTCCATAATTCTGGTTATTGAAGTCCACAGATTTTAAAGTTGCCAGGGTTGGTCTAGGACAACTCACCATTGGACAACGCTCCACAGGACAATTCAACACTATATTGTTTCATTCAGTGACCATGTCATTGTCAAAATTATTGAAATTGTTGTATTTCTGGATTTTCTTTAGTATTATTCCATTGACATTAATCTAACTTTTGTATTTGTTGAATTATCCTGCAACAAGTTGTCCCATGGCAAGATGACCACAGTGAGTTGTCCTGCAGCGAGCTGACTGTGGTGATTGGGTCGCGGCGAGTTGGCTGTGGCAAGTTGGCTGCAGTGAGTTGGCCATGGTGAATTGTCACATTCCAGGTTGAGAAACATTGCTGTAGAGGCTCTCTGCTGAAGGACGAGGAGGATAGATGATACATCTGACTGGTATGCCCCAGGCACCAGATGGATCCAATAGGGTGTTAGAGTTAAGCAGCGGTGGGATTCAGCCAGTTCGGACGATCAGCTGAGAGTGAACCAGTTCGCTCCGACAATCAGCTGGGCCTGCCTGCCCCTGAGCTATACTGACCTATATTTCCTTTGTTTGAAGCCCAGCTGATAGGCGCGGCAGAGCAGATTGCTGCACCTCAGCTGTTTTACTCATCAGGGCTGCAGTAGAAGGTAAGTTTTAGAGCTGTTTTCAAATGCACTGCACGCGGAGCATGTGTTTGGCACGCGTGTGCTTAGCGAACCGGTTGTTACACTGGTTGAATCCCACCACTGGAGTTAAGTAGGGTTTTGCCTAAAGTTCTGAGGCAAAGTTCAGTTGAGGTTTTAGTTGCTGCTAGGAATGAGAGAGCAGATTGTACTTATGCAGTTTTTTTCCTGTCTGTGGATCTTGGAGAACTCCCCAGTTTTCATAGAAACCCTGAGTTGAAACAGCAGAAGAAATGCTTATAGTGCCTCTGGAGAAAAGAGAAGAGTGAACTCAACCGGCCACAGGTTGCAGCCCTATTAAGGATTACATATTGTGGCAATAAGAGCTGGAAAAAGTTATTACTTTTCCATTTTCATTGGGTCTGCAGATAGCTGTCTGATGGTCTTGTTTAAGTGACCCGCCATCTGCAGAGCCACTGTGAGAACTATTAGGGGCATTTTTCAGATAAGGTTGCTCAGATCTAGTCTGAGTTGGACTTTGTGAAGATTCGATTGTAAAGGAATGTAGAAATGCTCTGGGGAAAGGAACAAATAAACTATTAAGTGAGGTAAAACAGCAACTCATTTCTGGAAAAGTAGAAAGCATCAGAAAGGAACTCAAAATAATCCCACTTTGATTCTGTTTGGTGGGCAGGGAGAAGGTCTGTCAAGTTATTATTATGTGACAAAGAAGCATTCCCAGAATCTTTGCAGGATCTATTTCCTAAACTGCCTTACCTTGAAGAGCCTGATAACAGTTGAATTTGCTGAGACACAATCCGGTTGGGATGTCTGGGAAGAGTTTAAGCCTATTGCTTTTAAGGAACTTGAGAAGAACCTTCCAATTGTAAGTCTATGGAGATTCTCAGTCATTCGGGTTATGGTTGTCCCAAAGGTGCTTTTTTTTCTTTTCTTCAAAAGGCAACTGGACTTTGTTTTTCCTTGAAGATGTTTCACTTCTTATCCAAGAAGTTTCTTTGCTGAACTGAAGAATTGAAGAAGCTTCCTGGGTGAGAAGCGAAATGTCTTCAACGAAAAACAAAATCCAGTTGCCTTTTGAAAAAGTACCTTTGGGATTTCCAGCTGTAATTGTATCCACCTGTGCTTAGATGCACGTCCCTTATGGTTGGTCAAAATCTCCCATGAGATTATATATGGTTGGATACAGATAGTGGTGAATGCATCCTAGAAGAAAGCGGTAATCCTGCAGGTCTTAAAGGTGTGGTAGTGTGTCCCTGTCTCAAGAAACTATTTATGCATCCAAAAGTGCTGGATAATTTTTGTCCTTAGGAAAAGTTGTTGAGAAGGTGATTGGGCTCCAGCTTCAGAGATCTGGACTGGAGGTTTTTTTTATAGGATTTCAGACCAAGATAGAGATATTTTTCATTTAGTAACTGACTCAGATAATTTGCAACCACTTGCAAATATGACAGTAATAAATAATGGTAATATAAAACTGATTTTCCAACCAGTCTGTGAATTCAAGACAATGAAAGCCTTCAGTATAAAACTAATTAAGGTCTGGTCAGTTTCAGGCAACAGCTGCAAGCCTCCAGGAGGGATCTAATCAACTAGTTAAGGTTACAAAGCTGAGCTTGTTGACTTGTGGTTAGCACTTTTTAGGGACATGCTGTGTTGTGGAGAAAAGCAGCTCAGGAAGAAGTAGCCTACCAGAGGGCAAAAAAAAAACCAGGGTGGGGGAGGAAGGGTCAGGCACAGGACAAAGTATGAGAGAACTTTAAATGAGACCTTAGCAGTCTTTTTCGCTGTGTCATGTGATATGTTCAGCAATTGTGGCACTTAGTAACTTTTACTGGAACCAATTGCACTCATTAAATGAGTATCTTTTTAAGAAATGTTAATGATCTCTGGCAGGGTTGGAAAAAGACCGATGCATTCATCTTGGCTTCCTTGATCTCTCTCAAAAGTTTTCAATACAGTTTTCAGATTGTGGTATCTTTCTGAACTGCTTTTAGGAAGTGGAGGGGCATAGTGTTATGGAGGAAGAGTCACAAAATAAGCACAAAGAAAGACTTTTGAAAAGAATGAAGACAAATTCAGTGATGATGTGAAACATTTCTTGCCTTCTGCATCCAATGTGCAGTGCTTGTTGTCTTAAAGCAGGGGTGTCAAACTAGCGGCCTGCAGGCCAGATGTGTCATGTGCAGGCCACGCCCACCCCAGCTCCACAAAGGAAAAAATGTCACAAAATATCACATGACAGCAATGTGATGCCGTGAGTTTGACACCTGTGTCTTAAAGCCTGTCAGGGTTTAGTGGCCAGGTATTTATTGGGCTTTCTCTACTGGTAAGATCTGGCTTATCTCAGGCATCCCATGGGAAGGATTTATGAAGGACCCCATCTCCCATGGAATGGAAGTCTTAGAATCTATAGCATGCTTGGAATACCTTGTTGATGTTCCTCGCTTTTCAGATATCACTTAAAGATGGTGGGGATTAGCCAGAGCCTAATAGGGTGCGGACAGTCTATTAGATATCCCTTGGCATACGATACTCGAGATTTAATTATATGCACTTTCTATTTTTGCAAACCCACCTTGAGTCTGATGGAGATGTGTAGTGTATATACAATTTTGTAATAAATAAGCTGCTTTATCTACCTTCAGCAGTAGCAAACGAGCATCCAAACTGAGCAGATGAATTCATGTGTGGGTATATATGCTATTTTGCTACTTTTTAATGTGTTTGTTTTTCTCCATTTCATGAGACATTCAGTCCAAATAATTCTTCCCTAAACACAAATGCTTAGGGGGGAAATGACAGGTGAGTTGTTCCTTGGTCTCAACACTCACATTTTGTCAAGTAAATGCAATAAGAAAACACTGAGAGGACATAAGAACCATCCAAAACAGTGAAGGCCTTACCGGAAGGGCTGCCTGTAAGAATAAAGCATAAAGGAGCGTGCAAAATAATCATTAGCAATTACTGACAAATAAAATAGTACTTTAAACCTGCAGCTGTTGCCAGGGGAATAGATGAGAAAAATTCAATTCCCTTCAGCCTAGACCAAAGTCACTTAGGCAATTAAGCAGATTTTTACTTTGGGATGTAAAATATTTTTACTTTGGGATTTAAAATATTTTTGAGGTACTTAGGACCATGAAAGGATATGCTAAACAACCCATATATTGAAGCCCATCTAAGATCTATTGAAACCCTTTATGTGTCAGTTACTGGGGTTTTCAGAAAGCACATTCATTTCTGGTGATAATCAAAACATTCCTGTCTTCTTAGATGAAGGACATATGTCAATTAATCCAATTTATTAAGGGATTTCACCACCCTTACCTCCATCATCTCCTCTAAACACACACACACACACACACACACACACACACAAGGAAGAATCACTTCTGGTGTGATGGCTGTTTTGGTTCCCATAATGTAAAAAAAGATGTTGACACTCTAGAACAGGGGTGTCAAACTCACATCGTCATGGCATCATCACGTGTCATATCAGAACTTTTTTCCCCTTCACTAAGCTGAGTGTGTGTGTCGCATGACCCACAAGTTTGACACCCCTGCTCTAGAAAGAGTGCAAAGAACAGCAACAGAGAGGATTAGGGGACTGGAGGCTAATGATTGCTGGAATTGGGTATGTCTTGTTTAATGAAAAGAAGGACTAGCAGTGTTCCAATATTTGAGGTGTTGTCACAAAGAAGAGGGAGTCAAGCTATTCTTCAAAGCACCTGAAGGCAGAACAAGAAGCAATGGTTGGAACTAATCAAGGAGAGAAGCAACCTAGAATTAAGGGGAAATTTCCTAACAGTTAGAACAATTAATCAGTGGAACAACTTGCCTCCAGAAGTTGTGAATGCTCCAACACTGAAAGTTTTTAAGAAGAGATTGGACCACAATTTGTCTGAAATGGTATAGGGTTCCCTTCCTGAACAAGGGGTTGGACTAGAAGATAACCAAGGTCCCTTCCAACTCTGTTATTCTCTCTCTCTTTTTTTTAGTCTCATGGCTTTATTATATTAATCTAGACAGAGCTAAACCAAACAAGATCATAGTTGCTGATGGAGGTACAAAGCAACAGAAACAGGGATAAGAAAATGCAATTTATGAATTACCATGGTTACAAGGTTTCAAAACAGGTTCTGCAGAAGTTGAGCTGAAGTTCTGGGGTTCATCTTTAAACCTGGGTGCTTGCTTTCTTCGATCGCGGAAAACCGTCCCTGACTGCAGCGCCTCCAGCAAACTATTCATCATTCCTGTCTCATCCTTCTCTGTTTTAATGTCCAGCAGGTGCCTTTTCTTCTATTAATTTTCTAGTTTTTCTTTTTCTGCTTTCTCTTGACTATTCTAGCATGCCTCTGCTTTTCTTCCATTTCTTTCCTTCTCGTATTATCCTTTGCTGCTTGCATGAACATCGTTTTGAAGTTGCTCAAGTCGGTGAGGAATTCTTCTACCAAGATTTTCTTTAAATCAATGGCATAATATTCCATGACATCCCAGTACAGATTTTCCATGTTTTTGTGTATGGTAGAAAGTTGCTTGAACTGCTTTTTTGCTTGGACGAGAAAGCTGGACATTTTTGTCACAAAATAACTCTGTTATTCTCTTATTCTGCTTTTTATCCTAGGAGAAAAAGAAGTAAATAAAAATGTCTGCATAGCTCCTCTGCCTCCCCTTGTTCCTCTTCCAGATACCTGGCTTATACCTGGCTTATCTATACTTCAAAAGAAAATGTGGTAGACCAAATGGGACTGACAGAGGAGCGGGATAATCTGCATTTGGATCCCATTTCAGTTCTCCACCACATTCAAACCTAATATCCTAGGGCTGATTGTACCTCCTAAGCTCATTTTTGTACCTCTTTGTATGTGATTGCCCAAGTGTAATCATTTCCTGCCCTTTGAACATAATAAAGAAAAACCAATAAATATTAAAAAGCAAAACAAAACTCTCGAAGTGCTGCCCACATGAATGATGTTTATGAACCAAGTATGAGTTTAGTTTCCTGCTTTCCAAGATTAGTAAAGATTCAGGTAGTGTAATGCTTGGTCATTAGGATAATGCAGAGATTTGTTTGATCGTGGCAGAGTATTAAATAAATAAAATATTTGTCTGAAAACCCCCAAATCCACAAGCTTATCCAACTGATGGGGCAACAGGAAAAGAGTTAGTCATCTTAAGGTCTCTTTCAACATACATTAGATCTAACTCCAAATCATCCCAATTATATTTTAGGAATATGCTTATGCGAAATATTCAAGAGTCTTTGCATCTGTACAAACTACTACCTTTCTCTCCCCATTTAAAGAAAATCCAGGGAATGAAGGAGCAGGCAAGGAGAAATGTAGCATATGATTTCTATTCACACAGAATTGTTTTACAGAGCTGTCCCATCAGGACTATAGGAAAGGAATATTAAAGTAGTGTGTCCTAAAGAGTGTCTAAAAATGAATCTTGTTGGTACACAACCTATTCATCAAACTAGGAGTAAGCAATATGACCTCAATTCCCCATTGTGATCCCTCTCCTTTTCTAACTTTCTCTCATGCCTAAATTACTTGATGTATTATATTCCTCAGCAAAACTCTTTAGCCAGTTTATAAAATGTAGTTTCAGCTATGAAACATAAAAAAACATCATTTTAAAATGGCCGAAGGGATAAAATAGATCATCAGCTAGGCAACAGAGGATACTTCATCAGGGAGGTTTTTCATATCTCCACTGACCTGTGTATTTTTTTTTTACAAAAAGTCACTCCATTTTATAGTAACTTTCTTCATGTCATTTGTTAAGACACTGTCTCAACAAAGCTCCTTTAAAGCTGAAATCCTCTACATTGGAGCAAGACTCTTCAGAGTTAATTCTGAGAAGACATCCATAAACTTACACTCTACCTTTTTTTTAAATAGCAGCTTTCTGATTCAGACATCATGGGAAACTGATGGTGGCTTAATAAACTAAAAGAGGAAGGAAGAAATATACAAGCCCATGGCTTAAACCTTGTTTTATCAGTTATCCAATTTGGGCCTCTAAAATAATCCCACATACTTCTTTGTAAACTCTGGGAATCAAACATGTAGAAAGGGAGCATTAGATCTGTTTTGAATTCCAAGATTCAGCCTTGAAGCTAGTGAAGCAATAACAAGCCTGAATTTACAGTTGCTGGCAGCAACTGACTTGGCTTCCTTGTTGAGGAGAAACTTCAGCCACTAGAGATCTAATTTGAAAAATGATCCCTTCTCATGATCATTGCAAGCCCAGCCAGAGCCCAATTTAATATCAGATTCTTCAGTATACACTGCTGTTATACTTCTCAGTAAACTGGAGAACTAGCCTTCAACTTACACAGACAGACAGACACATAGACACACACATACACAAACACACAGGGATGAGATTTGCAGAAAGTCATATTCTCCTACTTCCCTGCTGCGTTCTTACACATAGGCCTTTTGATGCTTTCTTCCTTTCTCTGTATGTTACTGTTGAACTAAAAAGTGGTCTCTAGAAATGTAACAGCTTTCTTTGGTTATACTAAATACTTAAAAAAAAATACTGACACATTTTGTACTTGACAAAAAAGTTAGCCCTGTAGATAGATGTCTATACAATATTGGATTAATTCCTGTCATTATGCATTGTTAGGATTTAAGGCTTACCTAAATTAGCACTTTCAGGGACTACAAGAATCCAGATAGAAAAAAGTAAAAACAAACAATGGAAGTTCTAAAATCAGGCTCCCTTTCATCTCTCCCTTTCAACTTAAGGATATTTAACACAATTTGAACACTGCCTGCTGTTTGGGGACTCTCCAGCTTTGTACATATGGAATTTTTTTTAAACAAAGGACTAAACAAAGTAGGTTTAATAATATCACAAATCAATTCGGGTAATAGAACCAAAGTGATCAACATTCTCTGAAAAGCAACTACATTTTTGGAGTTTGCTTTCCTTGGTGAATTGCCCTTTGGTGGATTTGTGCACTGACCAGGAAAGAAATACAACTGAAAATGGTCTTTTCATATCCTTTTAAAATGATAAAAAAAAAAAAATCTACAGGTGGTCTTTTTTCATAAATCTCCTTTAAGCTCTGGGCCTACCCTGCATGGTGCTCTGACAGGCTGACAATAAAGAAGGACTTATGATGGTCTTGGGGGCGGGGTTGTTCTAAAGCTTCCCCAGTGGTTCAGCAGTAAATCAGGGACTGTCAGGATTCCTCCCCTGCTACCTCCTACCAGGGCGACATTAAATTGACACTGTATACGCTAATCTCTTTCTAACCAGAGGAATCAAGAGTAGGTGGGGGGGAGGGAGAACCAGATTGAGATATCTGGATGCCAAGGTTTTGGGGGAGGGTGGAATGGAAAAATTCTTTCCACACTGTTGCAATAAAAACATGTGCAGGGAAATAAATAAAACAGAGATTGCTTTAGGAGTTCTTGGATTTCTTTACCACCTTCTCACTTTTTTCTTTTTTAAAAAATGCAATTGCAATTCCAAAGAACCTGCTACGGTGGCAATATGAAGAGTATGAGTCCCATGATACTAGCCCACCAATAATGCTAGTAGGAAAAAAATGAAAGTGATTTTTTTTTTAAAGAAAAAGAGTATTATGCATGGTGTATTAGCCCAACAATTAGAGTTCTCACTTGAGACACTAATGACCAAGCTGAAATTATCATATTTTACACATATTATGCAAAGTACTGGCTCCCTTGAGAAATCCATAATGCTGAGAAAAGGGAGAAGGAAAAAGATGGAATGGATGACCAGTAGCAAGGTGGATGGATTCAATTATAGCGGTTGGTGCATTGTTATAAGTTCTAAAGATCTAGGTTAGAGAAAGATCATCCTAGAGAAGGTCTACCTCTGTGGTTGTTAATCCTGACACACTAGCACATAATCAATAAACCCAATAAATAAATACTTTAGATGCTTAAGTGAAGTGAAGGGATACTTAGGAACTTCACATGTTGCCTATATATGGCTTTCTCAATATACATTTCTTCCATGGAAGTACTTATGACTATAACATGAATAGAACCAGAATATTAATAAGCTTAACAAGCCCAAAAGATCTATCTATTTTTTTTCCTACTAGGATGAACCTTTAGAGAATTATGCATTATAATCATCTAGAGTACAGGAAGTTCTAATCCAATATATCAGTGCTCAGTTTAGCTAAAGGGATTTCTTTCCCCTTTGTCTTCTTATGGTCTAGGAAGAGAAATATTGAGTATGAGCCTCATTCCTTGTCAACCTCCACTTCCTGTAATAAGAAATCAGGTGGCAGCTTTGTGACATAGGACTATGAGATACCACCATCACAATTTCTCTTTATTGGAAGTGTTATTGGAAGAAAAAAAAAGAACACAAAGAGATTTGGAAAACAATCCTAAAAATGTTATAAATGTGAGATGCCATAAGATGTGCTATCCAGTCTTGCTCATTATGTCTTGGTGCATACTTGCATCAACCTTTTACCATTTAAGATAGTAAGGTTTATCAGCATTCACTTGGACAAGAATAAAGTTGAGTACACAACTGAGTATTCTGCTTTCTCATGTCAATAGGCATCTTGTTTCAGACCCCTGTGATCTGCATAAGCAACAGATTTTGCCCATCTAGCATATTTCAGTAGGTTGCTTGACCAAAGAAAATAAAGAAATGACAGCTGCCTCCTGGTGTTGTTGGAAAGTATGCAGACAATGGCCTCTTGGAACTCAGAAATGCACAAAAAGCAAATCAGTTGGCAAAGAGAAACAACACAGTAATGGTGAGTGACTGTTTTCATTTAAAAAATCTATTTATTGTTCTAAGGCCAGTGTTTAGAGACATGAAAGCATGTTTCTTAAGAGGATCAATTCAGATGGATTTCAGCAATTGCTTGGAATCAGAATGAGAAATGGACTTTGCCTTCCATGGTTTGCTTGGCAAGCAAAGGCCCCCAAGCTGCTTTTTCATAAACAGGAAGAGCCTTAACACTTCTCTTGGGTTCTGTCCAAATCAAGGATTTACTATGAAAGAGAAGAAAGCAGAGATGGGTTGCGTTTCTGAGTGAGCTTGTCCAAAGCCCCTGTAATCCTTTTGTTTTTGTTAAATGAACGTCAGGGGTGGGGGGGAGAGAAATCATCAAGTATCATTTTAATTGAATCTAAAGGAGGCTCTAGGCAGGAATACTGAATGACTGCAAGGTTAATGTTATTCCGGGATTTAAAGACATTCCTTTAGGCTTGCCACAATAGTCTTCTTCCCAAAGCAAATTCCATAATCATAGCATTGGACTTAATAAGGAGCACCTTTCCAATCTTTTGTTTCTGAAGAAGGATTTTGTAGATGCATATATGTTCTTAGGTCATTTCCTGCATATCCCTACCATGTAGTGTTTTTGTTTTTCTCAACATCCTTTCATGAAGACATGGCTTGTGTGTTCAATTGCAGCTGCTGATATAGAAGGATAAGCCAATATTTGAATATGTTTAATAGCTCCATGGAGGTATGGAAAAAAAAAACCTTGCTTTTCTCTATGGGACGCGGTGGCTCAGTGGCTAAGACATTGAGCTTGTCGATTGAAAGGTCAGCAGTTCAGTAGTGCTGCATAATGGGGTGAGCTCCTACTTGTC